CCCCAAATCCCTGTCAGAGTGTCCCAGGGCTGTCCTGGGGGGCACTGACCGAGCAGCCACGTCCCAGCCGCTGTCCCTGCCAGCAGCCCGACCAMYGCCAGCAGCAGGAGCAGCCTCCTGAGGGTGCACAGAGCCCCCAGAGACACCCGAGCAGGGGCTGCAAGGGAGGGACAGGGGATCAGAGGGGTTTGTTCGTCTCTCACAGCTCTCCTGAGCCCCTGGTGAAGCCCCTGGGTGCTCCTGCACCCATTTCCAGGGCTCACCCGCTCCTTTCCGGCAGGAGCAGCTGAGCCGAGCCAAGGATTCCATCAGAGCCCAGCACCCCGAGCCCACCCTGCTCACCCACCGTGCCCTGGGCAGGGCTGGCTCCTCCGTGCTCCCCTCCTGGGCTCGGCCCTCGGGCTCCGGGGAACGGGCACCGCATCCTCGGCGTGCCCGGGGCTGGGGGGCGGCTGCTCGGGTGGGGCCGGGCTCTGGAGACAGGGGACAGGGGACAGGAGCGGGTCAGGGACGGGGACAGGGGACAGGAGCCGGGGACAGGAACGGGTCAAGGACAGGGCTGGGTGCTCTGGGGACAGGAACGGGGGACAGGAGCGGGTCAGGGTCAGGAGCAGGGGACAGGAGCGGGTCAGGAGCGGGTCAGGGATGGGGCAGTGGGGTAAGAAGCGGGTCAGGGACAGGAACGGGGGACAGGAGCGGGTCAGGAGCGGGTCAGGGATGGGGCTGTGGGGTCAGGAGCGGGTTGGGGACAGGGCTGGGTGCTCTGGGGACCGAAGCAGGAGACAGGAGCGGGTCAGGGACAGGAACGGGGGACAGGAGCGGGTCAGGAGCGGGTCAGAGCCGGGGCTGTGGGGCCAGGAGCGGGTCAGGGCCGGGGCTGTGGGGTCAGGAGTGGGTCAGGGACAGAGCCGGGAGCTCCGGAAGGCGCCGAGGGTGCGATCCCCGCTCACCATGGCAGCAGCGCAGCGAGCGCTCCGCTCCCCGCTCCCGGCTCCGCTCCGTTCCTGTGCATGCGCCGAGGGCTCTCCCTGCCCCAAACCCCCCTTTGTCCCCCTGCCAGGGCCCCACTACGTCCCCTCCTGCTCCGGGTGTCCCAAGGGACGTTCCTGCCCCTCTCTGGGGTCACACGGAGCAGAGCAGCAGCTGCGGAGCTGCCTCAGCCCCAAACCCCCTCCTCCCTGCTGCCCGTCCCCTCCCATTCCCTGCCACACCAGAACCCCTCAGCAGCTCCAGCCAGACCTGACAGCGTGGGCTCCGAGCGCCAAAACTGCCTAAAGTGGGGAAAATCAGAGAAAAGACGGGAGCTTCTCTTTCTCCCGCCCGCGAGATCCCCGAGCTCCCCCCGGGAACAGCCCCAGCTCCTCAGGGGATGGATTTTCCCTGCTGGGGCACACCAGGAGCAGCTCTGAGCTGGTTTTTTGATTCTCCACGCGATTTCTTGCTGCTGAAAGAAGAGTTTCTGACGTGCCTGGGGCAGGAGTTGATTTTCTCCCCGGTGCAAAGCTCTGGTGGAAAAAAAAAACCCTCACCCTGTGCCCCAGCCCCACACCCAGAGCAGCTGGACAGGCTGAAATGGAATAAAAGCTTTTCTTCCTCACCTCTCCATCCCTGCCAGGCACAGCCATGGCTTGGTGCTCACAGCACCCATGAATTTTTAATGCCGTTTCACCCCAATGAATGTTTCATGACCCCTCCTGCAGGTTCGGGCTGAGCCTTTGTGCTCTTGGAGCAGCACCAGGTGTGCTGTGGCACAGCCCCAGCCTGTGAAAATGACGGTTTGGGGGTTGATTTGGATGTTTTTCTCCAAGCCCCCCATCTCATTGTGTATTTAGGCTGCAAATATCCCTCAAATATCCCTCAAATATCCCCCAAATATCCCCCAAATATCCCCCAAATCACACCAGGGCTCAGTCTCTGACCCTTCCCCGTGCCCGTGCGGTTCCCAGCAGCGCTGGAGCATCCCCGGAATGACTGCAGATGGTGCTGGAACACCAGTGGGAACGGAGAGAACTCCCGAGGTGCAGAAACCAAACCCGAGCATCCTCTGACAGCTTTCCTGACCACACAGGAGGGGAGGGACTCAGCCAGGCTGCTCCTCCCAGCTCGGGGTCGCTGCAGGACCGGTCCRGGCTGTCTCCCCTCCCAGAATCTGCCAGAATCTCCACCTTTTGAGGAGTTAAAGGAAGACGCAAAAGTTCGACAGAGATGTGAGCGCAGCCAGCAAAACACAAACACCTTCCCGAACCACAGCAAGGACGGGTCCTTGCAGGGGAAAGGAGGAGCCAGGGCAGATTCCAAAAGGATTCATGGGGAACAGGTGGAATGCGAAACAGGACACATCACTCAGCCCTGAKTCACGCTCGTTTCTCCTCTCCCAGCTCATTTCAGATCAATATTTCTGTGTGCCTGAAATGAGAGCAGCGAGAGAGAGGAGAGCGCTCTCCAAATTAAACATCGGCGGGCAAGGGAGGGAGGGGAGCAGCAGCAAAGCTTTTTGAGCTTTTTCCTCCCATTTTCCTCACTTTTTGATGAAGCAGCAGGGAAGCGGCAGCGGTGCCAGCCCCTGGTGCCCGTGSTGCAGGGGTGCCTGGCACGGTGCAGGGGTGCTGTGAGGCACAAGATGTTCTCTTTTCTCATTTTCTGACTCATTCCCGCTGGAACAACCTCCCCTCTCCCCTGGGAGCCGCCGGCAGAGCCCAGATGTGCAGAATCCAGCCAGATGTTGGCTCTGCTGGAGCGCGGAGCTGACAAGGTCGGGGCTGTGCAGCGCAGCCGGGCTTTGACAAACGATGAATTCTGACCCTGTGCAACAACAAACCCCAAATCCCCCCAGTTCTTCCGCTGAAATCAGCAGGAAAAGATCAATAATTGGCTCATAAAACTGCCCATTCCTGATGCCGCTCCCGATTTGGAGATCTCAAAGCAGCTTTTGCAGCCGCTTGCTGAGTTTTGTTCGCTCTGATTTTTGTTTAATCGGTGCTCATTGCCCCGTCCTTTCCCCTTCCTCGGGGATTTTTACAAGRGCAGAGCCAGGATGAGGGGAAATGGYTTCAAAYTGGCAGAGCACTGRGATGGTTGGATGGGATATTGGGAATAAAKTCTTTATTCTGAGGGCGAGGTTTGCTTTTGGAAAATGAGTCCAGTCAGAGCTCCAGCCCTGTGCTCTGAGGGGCACTCAATGTTTAAATTCCTCCCAAACAGCTTTCCAAACCTTCARGGTGAGCTGATGTGAAGGAGTTTTCACCCTTTGGGAGTGCAGGAGCAGCACCCTCGTTGCGCTGGGTGAGTCCCAGGATGGAGAAATCCCCCAAGTTCCAGGATCCAGCCATCCCTGGGTGCAGGACATGAAAAATCCCCACCCTGGGGACAAATCCCGCTGCATTTTACTGCTCCCTCTCCCACTGCAGCACAGCCCCCACCCCTGCCCCGCTCCAGCCTCTCTCCCCAGGCAATTTGCTGGGTAATGATTATGGAGTCGAGAAGGCAATTTCAGGAAAACTGGTTTCTCGCTGGAAGGAATTGAATGGAGGCACTGTTCTAACCTGATACAATAATTTGTTTAAAAAGCAGCTGGCACGGCGTGAAGCAGAGCCAATTTCGAGGCAATTCCTTGCAGGGATGGTGCCAAGCTCCCCAGAGCCAGGGAAGGGGCACATTGCTCATCTCCTGCTTCAGGGGAGGATGGAGAACAACCTGATGCTGTGACTGTGATGGGGACACCTCAGGGCTCACCATTGTCACCTTGAGCTGAGTGAAATTCAGGGTTTGATGCCCCTGAGTTCGTGTTTGTGCACAGGACGGACAGCTGGGCCCTGCGTTCTCATCCATCACCCGATAAACAGAGAGTTTAAGGATGTCGGGGATAAAACATTTTCATTCTCTGTATCGTGTTCCAGCACAAAGATATCCCCAGGGATTCATTCTCGGAGATGAGAATAATTGTTATGGAGAAATTTATATTCTGCTCCTTTTTTTCCTCATTTCCAAACAGTTTATTTGTCATTTGTAGGCTGAGCCTTTGCCCTCACAAGCTGCTGAGGACCCAAATCCCAGGAAGGGAAAAGGAAAAGGCTCTTCAGGAGGCTGGAAGGAATTCCTTTGTTGTATCCTGACTCCCTGCACTAAAACCAGAGCTTTTAGCCCCAGGGGTGGCAGCCGGGGTGGCACCGGGCAGTGCTGGCAGCAGTTTGTCACCGCGGGTGACCCCAGGGAGGAGCAGAGCCGGGCTCACATCCCAG